AAAAATAATATATATTTTATGAAAGTCGTATAGAACAAAAATAAGACGATTTTCTCAAATTTATAGAATTTAAATTGTATCATTCAAAGTAAACATTTAATTTTATACGAAATTATTTTTATTATTATTTTAATATAATTTAATTTTAATAAAATTTAGGAAAAATTAAATTAAAAAAAAAAAACATTCCCACAAAATTTTATAATTGGTAGAAATTAAAAAAAAAAAGGCAACTCCAATTTGCAGGTTCCACTTTCAATATTGGTCCAATTCAGCTTCAAAAATAGAAGGACAAAGTTGGGCCAATCATAATTTATTCAAACAATGAATTGATAACAAGCATGAATACATAGGGTATATGGTTTCATAAATTTTTAACATAAAGTTTAATTTTTATATACGATAACAATAATTATTCAACCCATTATTTCCACTCCAATAAATTATAATATTCTTATTGGAAAATTATCAGATTACTTATATTGCATTAAAAATGTGATCATGGATCATGATCTCAAAATAGATAGGTTCATCATAGATATTCTCTCGTTATAAGAGTAATAGTTATAAAATAAATCGATATTCTATACGAGATAAACATCTCAATAATAATATATAAGGAGAATAACTATAATAACTTTAGGTTACAAATGGCCAAATATATTTGTAAACCAATTCATATTTAAATTTATTTAACTCAATTTCATGATTTAAAAATATTTTTATTTAAATAAGTAAAAATCGAGTCTAAAAATAATTTATTTAGAAGTTAGGAAATACATTTATTTATTTACAAACATGTTAAATATTTTTTTTAACATAATTTATCAAATATAAAATACTTTTTTTAGATAATTATGTTTTGATTATATATTATATCATTTTTATAAATATTTTAAGTAAAGTCAAATAATAAATTGATAAACAAATCATTTACCAAATTTTGAATTTATTATGTTTGATTTTATATACTTCAAACATATATATATATTTGGATTTGATCATAATAATTTTTTATTGAATTTCTCAAACTTACATTTTTATATTTATTCACCATGTTGAATTTAAAGTTAAAAATTACTATAATATTTGAAGTAAATTTTGAGTTATACGCTTAGCACTTAGCCGAGTGCCATACATGCTTATCTATTTTCAAAGGGTTACAAATTTAAATATCTTGAAGTGTGTTATTTATGCAATTGGTTGATGCCGAAAAAAAAAAAAGACAATTTGAGTTTGACACCACTACAAAAAGAATAAAATGGTGTCGCTTGACTCAGCTTTGCTCGGCTTAACCATTTTAACCTCAGTAGTGGACCAATTATTATGTTGTTGACCATGCATGTTGAGTAGATATTACATAATACAATAAGATTATCCTATAAGTAAACATTGAAACTTATGATGTTTGATTTAGTTGAATCGATGACTTAACTCACTAGCGTATTTCTCAATTACAATGAATAAGTTGAATTAAGTCTCGATAAATTTATTATGTTTAGGAGCAGAAAAAATATTTCGTAACAGTCATATTTTTTATTTAGACTAAACACGATGATCAAACACTTTTTTTTGTATAATATATATGGGATTTTATTTTTAT